ATGTGTACAAAAAAGGATAGTTACCCAGATGTGAACAAACCGAAAAGTTATATATATATATATATATATATATATATATATATATATATATATATATATATATATATATATATATATAGATATATATATATATAACTAGTCATATATAAATATCTTATTTTATATAAAACTATCTTCTATATAAATTGTAACTAGCTTATTTTATATAAAACCAACTTCTATATTAATTGAACTAGTTTATTAAGATATAACTTATAAATAATCATACTTTATGATATATTTCATAATTTGTTATTTCTCCAATAAATATTATTTCCAGAAATAATAAATTCCCAATTATTAAATATTAATTCCATGAAATAATAATTTTCCAATTAAATACAAGTGTTGATATATTTATTAATAATCAAATTATACTAATGAATAATCAATTCACGGTAACTTGTTAATATATAATAATTGTGTAATGACTCTTGGACATACTAGATCTTTCATAGACTTACGTAAATATTTTGGCGCATAAAGCTGAATAATAGTTTTACAAAAATAATGGAGATTATCTCGTGCAGTCCTATCGGACATCCGAAAACTCTCATCCAACGCATCAGGAGGGGTGTCATATGTTAATTGACGAAGTGCATTTGTGCATTTTTATAAAGGGGGTGAAACCGGATGTACCTCTAGCATCGGGCCGTTGTTGGAAAAAATCACACTCTCTCGTTAGATCTTCGACTATACGTTCGTACAATGGTTTCAACATTCTGAAACGCTTTCGGAAGTAGTACCCTTGAAAAGTGACATTTTTCTTGAAAGTAGTCTGGTATCAAACGTTGGTTTGCTTCTTTACGATTCTATAATATATCTTCGGGTTCTCCGTTCAGCACTTTCCGTTGCGCTACTGCATGCAGCTTCATACGTTTGCTCCGCCAACTTAGCAGCAACGGAAAAAACATCAAACATAATATCAAAGTCTTTAGAAGAATCTGATAACAACATTTTTTAATATTTTTGAGAAGAAATGTAGTACAAAGATAAAAAAAAAGTTTGAGAGGTTTAAATAGGAAAGTTTGAAGGTTAAAAGGAAAAAAAAACAAAACAAAACAAAATAAAAAAACAATTTTTTTTTTAAATCCGGCTGTTCGACGGTCACATGGAATGAAAATCGGCAGAGAGGAGCGTTCTCTTAGGGTGCCGTAATGCGGCCTCCACCACACCCAAACCGCGGTGGAGGTGAGTGTTTGTGCTGAGGTGGCATGGGTGGTGCGGCATCTGCGTAGCCACTCCCCAAAGCCTTACAAGACTCCATCTTTCCTTTGTGATGATCATATTAAAAGAATTTTTTACATTTTTTTCATGTGGCTGTCCTTTTATCCATGGTCTTTCAGACGTCAGACCAGACCGCAGATACTAGTAGCTTCAGAGTTCAGACCAATGGTTGACGAACTAATTGTCTCGAATTAGTAGCTTCTTTGTTTCAAAAGACTGCTTCAAAAGTTTCGGGTCATATAGTATCAGTATATAGCGGATTCTACAGTCATACCTGAGATTTTTTAGAACTTTTGTCATCTATATTTTATATGTTCAAGCAGTTGAACAATAGAAATCAGCCAGTCAAAACATTGATCTAAAAGTACTTTACTTTAATTTTCATTCTCTTTTTCTTGAGAAGCCGCATATATTAAGTGGGAGCATATGGGCCTCATATATATATATATATATATATATATATATATATATATATATATATATATATATATATATATATATATATATATATATATATTCTCTAGAGCTATTTTTTTTATCATATTGCATTGTCCATAAAAAAAAAGGGAAAAAATTATGAGCACCCAGCTCATAGTTTATGATTGTTTTGACAGTGGCTTTTCTAGACTTTTGAAGACCCAGATTTATTTGGCGATGTGATTACAGTGTTTTTGGCATCGCTACTCATATTTCTAGCTTCACTAACTTTAACTTGGATATAATATTAGAAATATGTACTTAAAGCTAAATATTATTTCTGCTAAATTATATCACAAAAATGAGCTGATCAGTATGTTTATAAAGAACCTCTGAATATGTTATGTCAAAAATTTATATTATGATTTTATTTAATAGTTTTATAAAAAATTATTTATATTTTTTGTCAAAATATAATAAAAAACATTTATAAAGTCATAGGTTTAAATACAATAAATTATAAATAGTTTGTACCTGTTTATCTAAAACACATACAAATGGTGTATGAATATATTTACCTGTCTTTAAAAGTTTTATATATTGTTCACCAAAGATCACATTAGAAGAATAATAGTCATTAGCGGCGACGCCTTTAGCGGCGACAAATAACTTTCGTGTTATTTGTCGCCGCTAAATGTGCACGTCACTGCTAATGTCATTCGAGACCGATCCGTGTCAAAAGTTGAGGAAAAAGCATAACCATTGATTTAGTCATTAATCCAACGACCGGATATCCACATCATATGCAACCTTTAGCAGCGACACGTGTACCAACCACCATTTCTGACGACATCTCATAGTCAGTGACTGGTGAGACTTCCCATTTTTTTTTCTCTTTTTCTTTTGGTTTTCTCCTCATCTCCCCACTGAATATACCTGTTGGTTGAAAGAATTTCAAGCATTTTGCCGAAAATTTGAGATCCCCACCAAGCTAGAACCTTGTTGCTGTCGATCCCTACCAGCATTTTATTGCCACCACCACTGTTCTCTTCGGAATTAGCCATCGCAGCCACCACATAACAAGTTTCATATATAAGGTGAGGTTCAATAGAGAACCCTTATTAATAAGGAACCAATGAACCAATTGTTAGCGTCGAAATTTAAAGCAATCAATGGCCATGAGAATGGATGTACACTTGTATATTGGGCGCACATACAACCGATTATACCATAAAACTCATCTCTTTACCAAAAAACTCACCTCATTTTTTCGTTTAAAATTTTTTTTAGCCATGTTTTTTATCGGAAAAAAACTTTCCATAGATATTCATGTTGATATATAAAACAACAAACTTCTTTTTCGAAAAAAACTCACTTCGTTTTATTTTTTTTTTTCAATATTTAAATTATTTTTATATAAAAAACAATTATACAAAAAATCTTAATTTTTTGTCGTCTATTAAAAAACATCATCAACGATTAAAAAAAACTTGGTTAGTTCAGATTCACATTGTGAATCTAAACTGTAAATATTTCAATTTTAATATTCACAATGTGAATCTGATTTACTATTGTTCACATTGTGAATCTGCTCCGATCTGGGCAGATTCACAATGTGAATTTGTACTATTATTTTTTTTATCAATATGAATCTATATTTAAAGAGTATCAAAAAATATGAATTTTGATATATTTATTAAACTTTTTCCATAAATATAACCCTTAACTTTTCAAAAAAACAAAAAAATGAAGTGAGTTTTTTTGAAAAAAAAAATTTATTTTTTGTATATATCAATATGGATCTCTATGGAAAGAGGACGAAAAATCATGAACTGTAGTATATATTAAGGTATTTTTTCGATAAAAAAATGGCAAAAAAAAAATTAACGAAAAAAAAAAGAAGTAAGTTTTATTATAATATGGTGTATGTGCGTCCATCGTAAAAGTTTACAACCCTCATTTTGCCGTTGATCGCTTTAAATTCCGACGCTTTAGATTGGTTCCTTCTTTCCTAAAGTAATAATGGTTCTCTGTGAACTTATATATATATATATATATATATATATATATATATATATATATATATATATATATATATATATATATCCTCCGTAATAAATGAATGTTTTTTTCCACTTGTCATACTCTTATGTATTTTGCCAAATGTCATTTTGTGGTTGTTTTGAATTAATTTTGTTTCCACATGTCATTTTAAAAGTTTTTCTATTTTTTCAAATTCCATATAATATTTTAATGTAATAATTGCAATAAACATAGTAAGAAATGGATATCAATGTCATTAATAAATTTACCTTTTATTTTCAAAATTTTCAAAATTAAAGCTCATTAGCTTATTTTTTTATTTATTTAAATTAATATTTTTAATTTAAAAGATAAAAAACATTTTCATTATATTAATTCATTATTTTTCTTATTTTCTTATAAATTCAAAGTTATCAAATATTTAGTTTTATATATATATATATATATATATAATATATATATATATATATATATATATATATATATATATATATATATAAACCCATTTAATACATGGGTCTCACACTACAAGAAAAACACGATTTTGCTAGGGAAGGAATCTGTTGTGAAAAGTTGAAATTCCGTTGCAAAAGATGAATAGCGACGGAATTTGCGTCGACCGATTTCCGTCCCAAAAAAAACTCGTTGTGAGGGTTTGCTAGGGAAACAATAATTTCGTCTCAAATGTGACAACGGGATGAAATATGTTGTAGATGATATTCCGTTGTGTATTCCTTAGTAGGATTCCGTTGCGAATTTCGTAGTAGTTCTTCCATCACAAATTTCGTTGTAGTGGATCCCTAACAAAATCCATGGTGATGACTCCCTAGCAAATTCTATGGTGGTGAATCCCAAGTAAATTCCATGATGGTGATTACGTAGAAAATTTCGTGGTGGTGAATCCCTAGTAAATTCTGTGGTGGTGATTCCCTAGCAAATTCTGTGATGATGAATCCCTATCAAATTCCATGGTTGTGGATCCCTAGAAAATTTGGTGGTGATGAATCCCTAGCAACTTCCATTTTGATGACTCCCTAACAAATTTCATGGTCATGAATTCCTAATAATTTTCGTGGTGTATATTATATAGCATATTCAATATCAAAGATTCCATATGGGCGGATTGATAATTGATTTATAAATTAAATCCAAATTATTTTGTAGTAATATACGAAAAATAAAAATAACAAAAAAGATCAAATAACATTATATCATAAAATAATACAATAATTATTTTTTACATGGAAAATGAAAATTGGATAATCTAAGTAATACTTTGCAATAAACATATCAACACTTTATGACCTACTAGTTTTGTAGCTGTTTAAAAGCATTAATAACAACCATTGCCAATTGTAGTTGTTTATTAAGTTGCTCAATTCTTGCGTAGTGTTGGTCATCTTTGGCCTTCATTATTTCCTTAAAATCTTCGATTTGCTCTTTTTGTTTCCTCACAAGCTCCCTCAACTCTTCTAAATCATCATTTTTGTCCAGAAAGAGGATTGATGGATCACATTTGAAGAGTTTGGGCTCATTCCCATCATCAATATCCTACACCATCTACATTTTTAACAAATCAAAAAAATCATGAACATTCACAAAAAAATAAGCAATATAATAACTTTATAACAACTTAACATCTAAAATCAAACCTACATCAAGTGGTCTTATGTAAGCATGTTGAGTATAAAGTTGTGATTTGTTAGCAATCCTGCAACATATAGATTTATCAACACAAAAATTGATATGGCATAATCTTATAAATGGAAACCAGATAACATATTAGGATTAATACCATCTTGCCAATACATTCACAGTCATCTCATTACCATAATAATAATGAAAGTCAGCTGCCTCATTTCTTGCATGTTGAACCAATGTCCTTGAATCAACTAGAAAGATGTATCAAACAATACTTATTAGTCTTGGCTTACACAACATATATTTGATTTTATGCTGCAAATCATTGAAAAAACAACCTGTAGTGCCACTAACTAAAAATCGAAGGAACTTAGTAATGGGGAAGAGATGTGTAATGCTGAGTGGATCCAAGAGCTTGTCTTGTATGTATCAAGATAAAAGGTTACAACCAAAAACTTTACCTACTTCAAAAGTTTTATAAACATCATCTGTTCTCATTGATATCTGTTTATAAACCATAAAATTAGTTCCTAACTTTTACCGGACAAGCTTCTATAGTAATGGTGTCACCCTTTGTCTTTATGAGATCAACAATCTTAGAAACCTGCAAAATATCCAAAAAAAAATATCCTCAACTAATAATGTTTGTATGGACTAAATGACCATTTGAGCAAGAACCTAGAGAAATCAAATGGTACAAGGTTTACTAACATTATCAGCCGCAATGCCAAAATGACCAAAAATCAATAAAACAGGTATGCAAAAATAAAATCCATGTACAAAATAACTTCTCTTGAGCATTCCATCGAACAGCTCCTGTGCAGAATCCAGTTTTCTTAACTTTACCTTGGTAAATACAATCAAACACCAAACACCCTCATAGCACCACAAATTTTATAGCTAAAAAAACGTTAGTGATATTTCTGAAGTAAACTCATCAGTGACAATGACTAGACCATAATTTCTACCCATTTGCATAAAACACTTACACAAGAAATTACATATCCACCTGAATTTCATTTCGAATAAAACTGCCCATGTCAATCCTCCATAGATGCATATAAATTTAAACAACAAGAATGGCGGGGAAGGAGCAGGCGACGACGGTCGGTGTGCGAGAGGAAGAAGCAGGAGACGGGATTTCATATATATATATATATATATATATATATATATATATATATATATATATATATATATATATATATATATATTATACGAAAAAAAAACATTACCTAGAACTCGAGAATCGATGACTTTGAGGATGTGGAGGGCGTCGCTAGTCGGGCTTTCGGTGGCGGCGTCGCCAACAGAGGGAAGTAGATCGGAGAGAAGGTGGGAGGGAGGAAAATGTGTGGTGGTGTCTACAGTACGTGCGACACTGGCCTGTGACGGCGGTGGTGTGTGTGACGAAGACGGTATGCGATGGTCGGCGGTGGTCCTCTGTGAAGTCCGACGAGTTGAAGGGGAGAGGATGGAAGCGTGTGTTCTTTGATGGCCGGAAGAAAATAGAGAATGCAGTGAAGAGGGTAGGGTTAAGAAAAAAATGAGATACCGTGCTTCTTTATCTATGAAGGGAAATGGGGAATTTGGCTAAAGGAGGGAATCGTTTGAAAATTTTGGGGGTGGGATAGTTTAAATTATATTTAAGAAATTAGGTCGAATAATTGATCGGTTGAAGTTTTTTGTATAGGTTTTTTTGAAATATTTCAAATAGAACGAAAAAAGTCAAAATACTCCATAATTCAAAATATTTTATTTAACTACTTGTTCTAAATTAGTAAAAATTAACAAATTCACCACATACGCTCAAATTCAATCGTATTTATATGTCTTGATTTCCTTCTCATTAAAATAAATAAAACTTTTACCAACACATTTATTCATTAATAACTCTTAACACATTTATTAATAAACGTTATTTGTATGTACTAGTTATAATTAGTTAAATATATATTATATTTTTACTTACACATATGGGATATGGTTTAAGGGTAATGACATTAAGTTACATGGGTCAGGGTTTAAGGGTAAGTCACATAAGTTAGGGTTTACGGGTAATTACATTAAGTCATATGGGCAAGGGTTTAAGGGTTATGACATTAAGTCACATCGGTTAGGGTTTTAGGGTAAGTCATATGGGTTATAGTTTAAGGGTTATGACATTAATTCATATAGGCTAGGGTTTAAGGGTTAAGGCATTAAGTCACATGGGTTAGGGTTTAAGGTAAGTTATATGGGTTAGGGCATAAGGGTTATGACATTAAGTCATATAGGCTAGGGTTAAGGCATTAAGTCACATGGGTTAGGGTTTAAGGGTAAGTCACATGGGTTAGGGTTTAGGGGTTATGACATTAAGTCATATGGGATAGGGTTTAAGGGTAATGACATTAAGTCACATGGGTTAGGGTTTAAGGATAAGTCACATAAGTTAGGGTTTAGGGGTAATTACATTAAGTCATATAGGCAAGGGTTTAAGGGTTATGACATTAAGTCATATGGGTTACGGTTTTAGGGTAAGTCATATGGGTTATGGTTTAAGGGTTATGGCATTAATTCATATAGGCTAGGGTTTAAGGGTTAAGGCATTAAGTCACATGGGTTAGGGTTTAAGGGTAAGTTACATGGGTTAGGCCATAAGGGTTATGACAATGAGTCATATAGGCTAGGGTTAAGGCATTAAGTCACATGGGTTAGGGTTTAAGGGTAAGTCACATGGGTTAGGGTTTAAGGGTTATGACATTAAGTCATATGGGATAGGGTTTAAGGGTAATGACATTAAGTCACATGGGTTAGGGTTTAAGGATAAGTCACATAAGTTAGGGTTTAGGGGTAATTACATTAAGTCATATAGGCAAGGGTTTAAGGGTTATGACATTAAGTCATATGGGTTACGGTTTTAGGGTAAGTCATATGGGTTATGGTTTAAGGGTTATGTCATTAATTCATATAGGCTAGGGTTTAAGGGTTAAGGCATTAAGTCACATGGGTTAGGGTTTAAGGGTAAGTTACATGGGTTAGGCCATAAGGGTTATGACAATGAGTCATATAGGCTAGGGTTAAGGCACTAAGTCACATGGGTTAGGGTTTAAGAGTTATGACATTAAGTCATATGGGATATGGTTTAAGGGTAATGGCATTAAGTCACATGGGTTAGGGTTTAAGGGAAAGTCACATAAGTTAAGGTTTAGGGGTAATTACATTAAGTTATATGGGCAATGGTTTAAGGGTTATGACATTAAGTCACATGGGTTAGGGTTTTAGGGTAAGTCATATGGGTTATGGTTTAAGGGTTATGTTATTAATTCATATAGGCTAGGGTTTAAGGGTTAAGGCATTAAGTCACATGGGTTAGGGTTTAAGGGTAAGTTACATGGGTTAGGGCATAAGGGTTATGACATTAAGTCATATAGGCTAGGGTTAAGGCATTAAGTCACATGAGTTAGGGTTTAAGGGTAAGTCACATGGGTTAGGGTTTATGGGTTATGACATTAAGTCATATGGGATAGGGTTTAAGGGTAATGGCACTTAGTCACATGGGTTAGGGTTTAAGGGTAAGTCACATAAGTTAGGGTTTAGGGGTAATTACATTAAGTCATATGGGCAAGTGTTTATTGGTTATGACATTAAGTCACATGGGTTAGGGTTTTAGGGTAAGTCATGTGGGTTACGGTTTAAGGGTTATGAAATTAAGTCATATAGGCTAGGGTTTGAAGGGTTAAGGCATTAAGTCACATGGGTTAGGGTTTAAGGGTAAGTTATATGGGTTAGGGCATAAGGGTTATGGCATTAAGTCATATAGGATAGGGTTAAGGCATTAAGTCACATGGGGTAGGGTTTAAGGGTAAGTCACATGGGTTAGGGTTTAAGGGTTATGACATTAAGTCATATGGAATAGGGTTTAAGGGTAATGGCATTAGGTCACATGGGTTAGGGTTTAAGGGTATGTCACATAAGTTAGGGTTTAGGGGTAATTACATTAAGTCATATGGGCATGTACAATATTTGTATGTTATGCAACCCATATTTGACACAAATAGACTATATATATATATATATATATATATATATATATATATATATATATATATATACACACACACACACACAATATTGAACTTTCAAATGAATAAAACGTAATATAAAATATAGATTACATAATACTAAAACTTAAGTTTCAGTTAAAAAAAATCTACAAAATTGAAATTGGTTTGAATAAGCCACCAGATTTATCTAAATATTTAGGTTTAGGCGCCATTTATGTCTCATGCCTTGTTTTGGTCAATGTCTTCTCGTTCTCTCAGCCTCTCCTTCTTCTTACTATCGACGATTTAAAGCATCACCATCACTATCGTCGCCCTTAAGCGATAGTTTAATTCTTCAATTTGATTCAGATTATAACAATCGACTCATCTCCTTCGTCAAGGTACTTCGGACTACAACAATTGACTCTATATCTAACATCGAACCCTGATTTCAAATTGCAATAATCGACCAAAACACATACGACGCAAACACACTAACACATCCATCTTCTCACGTCGTCGGCTCCTCAAGCTCTCCCTTGCTCACAACGGGAGGCCTAGCACTCCACAAAATACAGGTTGTTCTTCAATTTCTGCTTTCGGTCATCCTTTTTTTTTCCTTGTTTTCGTTCTTCCTTTTTCTATTTCCTTACTTTCTGTTGAAATCAAAATCATTGAGTTCAAGGTTTACCAATTCGTGTTGTTTTTCATGTTTCTAATTGTTTGATGTGTGGGTTCATTGATTGATGTTCACCTCATGTTTCTTGTTCAACTATTTTTTTTATCTTGTTAACTATTGTTTGGGTTCTTTTTCCCTATTTTCTATCTCGATTCCCACCTCCTGCATAATGATTCTTGTTTTATTACATTTTCATGATGAAATTAGATTTTACTTGTCAAGCATGGGTACTGGAAACCTTGTTCCACATATCATCAGATTCTCTTGTTGATAGCTAATGTGTTGTTATGATCCAATATAATGTTAAGGTAACAAATATGGAAATTTACAAACACCCTCTAAGATGTGCATCTTTATGGGTTTTTCTTTTTACGAGCCTTACAAATTTGTTAGAAATTTTTTTCCAACAGTTAGCATTTGATGTAAGGGGTGAGCATAAAAACAACATGAGACCATTTTTTTCATCTTTTTTGGAATACATAAAGTTTTTACTCGATGCTACAGAGTAAGAAACTAGAAATCCTTTTAGGTTGTTAAAGGGTTAATCGGGTGAGCATGAAAAAGGCATCAAACCATCTTTTTGGTTATCTTTTTAGCATTTACTAAAAAAACTAATAAAGGCATCAGACTTTTTTTGTCTTCCATCCTGAAGTATGATGCAATATTGGTCATCTTTTTGTCAAGGGTAAATATGTCAAAGTTGAATTTAAAGTAAATTTCAGGTCTGATGCAATTTTGTTGATATTTTATTCTTTTTTGTTAAGGGTAAATGTGAAAAAATTGATGCATGGTTATTGAATATATAATTCATTAGATATAAAACTATAGGTATGATACTTCTGTTGTCGCTTTCTATAATGGAGCACTTTATGGTTTTTATAGCATTGTACTTGACAACCTGTTATAAAGTTAATAATAAATTATTATTTTTTTTAAAACCTCAATTTTTTGTATCCATGAACTAGTAGAAGGTAGTATGAATGTGATTCAATTTTTTCATAAATTCATTGTCAATTTTAGAAAGATCAAAATAACTTGAACTTAAGATTTTCTTAATTCAATTAATTGGCATGAATATTATCAACCTTTTTATTATGGACAGACTTCTATGGCATGGAAATCAGGTCATGTACAATCAACTTCCTTCCTAACAGACATCTGAATCTGTTGAAAAAAAGGGAAATTTGCTTTAGTAAGCCGTTTGAAGATAAAGTCGACAAACAAGAGGAGCGATTATGTAAAGTTGATGTTCATGTTATACTTAGTTTTTCTTTCCCAACGAGTATTTAGTTTAATAGTTTTATATTTTGAGTTGTCACTAGCATAATGTTTAGACTTATTAAGCTTTATAGAAGATATTTTTTGTTTTAAATATTGAGAATATTGTTGTAAGCCAAGTTATGTTTTAATTTAAGTAATGCTTTTGTGTTTTCAATTATTATCTTAATTTTATTTTATTATTTTATATTCTATTTAAATTTATAAAAAAATTGGACATAATTTTCAAATATAAATGTTGTGGTAAACAAAGTGTCGCTAAAAACGTAAAAACTGTTTTTATTTTAGCAATTATATAGTGGCAAAAAAATATTGCCTACAGTTTAGGGCTTAAGGCTCACATTTAAATGTTATAATTAATATGTCGTAAGCTATAATCCATAGACCTAAATCCTAAACTCCTAGGCACAAAAATGTAACGAAAACATATGTAACTCGTCAAAATACCAACATAATTTCATTCTTTAACAATATTGATAACAAAACATCAATGGTTAATTTACTCCATAGCAAAACAACTATGTAATTGATTTTGGTAGCAAATACCGTAGCAACATAACTATGAAGTATAATTGGTTAACAAAATTCCTACGAAGTTTAATTTTGTAACAAAAATCATTACAAAATAGCAATAGACATTTACTCCACAGAAAATCATCTACGTAATTGATTTTCGTATCTAATATATGTTGCTAAATAGCATAAACATAATTACTTTACAAAAAATTAATTCCTAGCAGATTTGGTAACAAAAGTTGCAACATATAATTGCTCAATACTAAAAATTCAACGAGTTTTATTGTCGTTGCAAATTTCCATAGCTAAATATCTATGATTTTGAACTACTCCTTATCAACGTTGCTATGGAATATAATTTCATAACAAATGTCGTCACAAATTAGCTAGACTTTTTGTTCCTTAGCAAAACAAGGAAAGGAAATCAAATTCCATTGCAGAATTCCCTAGCAAATACCTACGAATGGTACTTCCATAC